ATAATTGGAGCATAGATTTTAAACAAATTTTCTATTTTCTACTAGCAGTAGTAAAAAAAATTCTATATATTCCTCGGTAGAGAAAGTCATTATATACCTTACGCATTATAAATATAAAAGCGCTCGGTATATAATGACCAACTTCTCTACCTTGGTATATAATATACTATTATTGTTAACAAAAATCGCAAAAGCAACGTCACAAAAGGCAGGTCCAAGTAGCTAGTAGCGTAGCGCCACTGTACTTGCGCGTGCTAACTCGTTACGCATTGTGACGTCAGAGGGCGTTTCGTGCGTTTAAACAATTATTATTTCGTCTCCGTTTTTCTCATAGAATTTTCTGATTTTCGTAAAATTTTGTAGATTTACGAAACGATGCTTAATAATTTGATGATGGTTAAAGGGGATTTTTTTTATTTTGTGAACATTCCTATTGCAACTACTGTCATTACAAAAGAACATCCTTATAAAGTTACTTGCAAACGTATCAGATTGAATATTATTCCCTTCCAAAGTTGTCTTTTTTTTACGTCATCAATACTACTGACATTAAATGTGATACTACAAGATGATCCTTGATATAAGAGCCCCCTTCTTGCAGGGTGGTCCTTTCGCTCTGCTACTTTACATTAACCGGATCGGGTATAGTGTATAATAATTGATCTGGCTGATGCTTCACGTCAATACAAATTGTTTTACACATCAGCGATTACATGTGAAGGGGGAGTTTTTAAATTAACAGTAATCCTGTTACTACTGGGTAGCTGTGTGACGCAAAAGAAGATTATTTTACCCCAAGAAGAAATGAATATAAATTCTCTTTTTATAGAACTTTGAAGCGGCATTTTCAAAAAAATAGTCCATAAAATGTTTGTTATTGTAATTTCATCCCTGCAAGTTGGAATGTCTTTTGAAGACGGGTTTTACGACTTCTTTGGCGCCTTTATGTGACGATGTTTAAATAAGAATCGTCCAGGGGCGGATAATAAGACATTATTGGACTTTACAATAATCCTTTCTCAGAATTGTTCAAACAATTTACCTACCTACCTACCAAAGATGACTTCTTATTGATTATCAAATGATTCTAGTGAGTATAATGAATGCATTTCATTGCAATTTTATGATTTCTGGCAAGGTGCGAAGAATATCTCTTCCTACGCTACTGGTTTAGTATCCATTACAGTTTCAAACTTTTCGTAAATAAACAGCGGTTAATCTTAAACAATCATTTTATGCGATTTGTTTTACATCATCCGGGCGCATATAAACGTCGCTTTGATGTTTGATTGCCTAGACCTTTCGTTTCATAAATTCAAATAAAAATTACAATGCCTTATTCTCATCCAATGTAAGTTCAGTTTTGTTCACAGCGTGCGTAATGGTAAAGTAAATCGCAGGGGCATAAACCAAGTCTACTGTCAGTGCATTTTGCGGTTGGCTTGAAAGTTTTTCACTTCTAGTTTGTATCAACTGTACCTATTAAATTATATAAAATTGTATATCTGTACCTCAGACGTAAACTGTATTAAGTCACTTTTTTTTCGAAAATGGGTTTTTAGCTTAGGTATACTGTATACTTCTAATAACTTACTTGACCTCTGAAAACTAAGATAATATAAAAGATAAATAAAACTTTGGTATGAGATAAATTGAATGCACATCGTTATAAAAACCAGAACTTTCAGTGTGAGGCGGGGAATGAAAAAAATACTTCAGCATCACATCACTCATTCATCTTCTTAAAAATGTTATATTTTTTTTTTGCATTTCATAATCCAGAATATTTGATAAATCTTCTTTTAATCCCGAGTTTTTCACATCATTTATTGTCTATTACCCAATAATTCTGAAAAACTTTTGACTTGAAACACGGTTTTCAAGACATTGGGCGACATCAAAATTTTCCTAATTTACTACAGATAAACTATGTTAAGTCACTAAAACATGTTTTAAGTCACATGTCATTATCAACTTCACTAGTGGTAAAGTATGTTAAGTCACTAAAACTAATTAGTAATTTCGTTGCAATATACCGAACGGTTCAAAAGTTAGAGGGGGGGCGACAGACTTCATGTCCTCACTGTATAATGTCCTACACCTACACCAACATTTGAATTTTACTTCACAAGTGTCACATTCGGAAAGGTAATGAGGTATTTGAGTGAACCTTAAGATGTCGGCTCAAACCTTGTTTATATTTGAATTCTGCATTACAAGTGTCACATTGAAAAGGTTAGTCATCCAAGTGAGTTGGAAGATGTTGCTTAAATTTGCTCATCCATTTAAATTTCGCATTACAAGTGTCACATTCGAAAGGATAAACACCCGAGTGAGTTTTTAGATTACCCTTCAAATTGCCAATCCATTTCAATTTTGCATTACCAGTATCACATTCAAAAAGATAAACATTCGAGTGAGTTTTCAGATGTTCCTTCAAATTGCCGAACCATTTTTTGACATTACAAGTACCACATTCGAAATATTAATCATTCGAGTGCTCAAATGTCTTTAAATGTTTGTTCAAATCGCCGATCAATTTAAATTTTGCGTTACAAGTGTCACATTTATAGGGATAATTATCTATGTATGATGGAATTTTTTTTCTATTTCTTTTTCATTTTCAAATTTTGCATTGCATTTGTAGCATTCAAAGTCCTTATTTCTCAGTTGATGCACATTCAAATGTTGTGTATTAGTTTTAGACTTGGAGAAAATGATAGAGCGAAATTTGAATTTCACTTCACAAGTGTCACATTCAGAAAGGTAATAGTTATTTGACCTAAGGGATCCAAAAGGACCATTAGGATACAAAATCTCAATAAAAAAAAAAAATGAAATTTCATCGTTTTAGTAAGAAGGTACCTAGCTACCTTATGATTTAGATTTTGGGAAACTTTGAAAGATCATAATTTTTAAATTGCAGCTCATTTGAACTCATAGTTCCTGAGATAAAATCGTGTTAAGCAATTTGAGGTGATTTATCAATTTTTCTGAGTGCTTTTTCTCATAGAATCCGGCTCCAAATCTCAGTATAATTTAGTGTATGGAGTTTGAGGGGCCTCGGATGATCATTTAGACGCAAAATCTCAACATTAAAAAATTTGAAATATCATTATTTTGGTACTAAGGTAGGTACATTATGATTTAGATCTCTGACAAATTTGAAAAATCATATTTTTTTTTCTATCAGAGATAGAAAGGTGAAATATTTAGCGATTCTTATTCTAGTAGAGGAATACAAACCCTGAAAATTTCAGCTCATTTGAACTTATAGTTTCAGAAATAGAATCGCGTTAAGAAATTTGGAGTGAATTATCAATTTTTCTGAGTGCCTTTTTTTTTCATCATTTTAGTACTAAGGTAGGTACCTTATGATTTAGATCTCTGACAGCTTTGAAAGATCTTAACTTATTTTCTAGTAGAGATAGAAAGCTGAAATTGTATGATAATGTCACTATTGCTCAATCTATGGATATTAAGGATGTGTTCCAAATATAACCAGGGTTGTGGTTTCGCGGTCCGAAAATAATCAAATTAATCTGGTTCCTGGAAAAGTGGTTACTTTTGGACCTTGATTTCCTGAAATCTGGTTAACCAAATGTCAAGATGGTTACCGGCTATCAAATGTCGGTTCTGTTGGTTTTATCTGCGTAAATTCTGTCAATTATTCTTTATTTCATATTCGCGTTCCACAAGTAACCGGAATTTTCAGTAACCATCTGTCAACCAATTCGGTTACTTTGGTTAACATTTAGTTATATTCGGACCATAGCCTAAATTTAGCAAGAGAATAGGTACACTTCACAAACGACATTCGATACATCTGCTTACGTCTTCAAGCTTCAAGGCGTCTTAAAACATCTCAAAGACGTCGTATTTTACAAAACACAACATCTTTTAGTCGCCTGCCCAAAGCCTTTTATCTATAAGCATTTGGTTATGACGTTTTTACATAGGTAGGTAACCATTTTTCTAGTATTTGAGTTATGTCATGAGACTCATAAGAACAGTGGTGTTATGGACCAGGTTATGAATCTATAACGCAACTATTTTTGATGGTTTGACAAATGTCAAAGTTAACCTGTAAAGGTAAAATGAAGGTAGACAACTACTAATAAACGAAAATGATTGATAAAACATTCTTATTTTTCGTTTTGTAGATAAAACGTTGTACAGTACATCACACATGCATTTAAACATGACTACAAAACTAGTGTGATTAGAATGACTCGGTCTACGACCTCGTCGTTCTAATCTAATCTTTCACACTCGTTATTGTAATCATGGTCGTAAACGTGAATTCAGGACATCTTCAAAACAACGTCTTGTAGACGTCTTTTTTTGGTTTTCAGATGTTCAGACGCAATGCATACCTAAAAAAGACGTCTTCAAGACTTTGCGTGCTGTCTGGATCTGAAGCAGCCCTGGCCTCAGAGATTACAATTCATTTAGGTTATTTTGGACGATCCTCTTTATAGGTATCATCTTCAGAGCTAGATATAGTCGTTAATTATCGCATAGCTGTTGAAATTTGTGCAGAATTTCATTATGAAACTCAGCTACTGAGGATTTTTCCGTAGTTATGTTATAGCGTCGTATTTTGCGATCAATATATAGAGGCCAATTTTCTATTGGTTGATGTGCGCCATTTTGAATTAAAATGTTCGAATAGATAGGGAGAAGAAGCGCTTGTGCATTGGCGTACAAAAATTGAAAATATAAAAAGGAACATACCAAGAGCTTTGAAAAGGCTGAAGGTGAAAGATGCTTTAGGTTTGCACCAAATATCACCACCCATCACTGATCCATGGAAATATTGAAAATATAATTGATGCAAAAATTTCGATTTTTTTTGACTAATATTGTCATTGCTATCTATAATCTATCTCCACCAATGAATCGAGAACTATTGTTTTGCAAAATACCTATAAGTATACTGATAGAGAAACAGCACATCAAAATATCATAAGAATGTTCAGAAATAGTTCAGTTCTTACCTTTCCTTGTTCCTTTTCGAAATCGCAAATATTATCAGACATATTATAGCCTGAATTTGGAGGGTTGAAAATTAACTGTAGATTTGTGCCAGTGGCAGAAAAAGCTATTTCGGTGTGTCCTTCTTGGCAGGCGGCTAAAAATCGTTTAACTCGTTCATCTTGAGGCCGGTCTCTGTGAGCTGTGTACCGAACCTAGAAAAAAAAGTAATGATTTTAGATACCACGAAATTCAAAGCAGATTTTCCCCTGACGGGACAAAATTCCGAAGAAATTAGTAGTAAAACAAAATTCCATAGCCTATTTTTATTTATGTAAATGATTAAATTGAAATATTACTTATTCGACCTTGATATGAACTGAACAACTATCACTATTTCGTGGTAAGAGTGGATACTAAGAAAATATCTATAAATGAAATAATAAGCTAAGAGCCCAGTCATGAATGACTAAAATCTAAATCTAATATTTTTATTGGGTCATTTTATGTCTAAGGATCTCATCTTGTAGTTGAGGTCTGTCAGTTTCTGAAATAAAAATGGTTAAACCTATTTCGGAAATAGTTTTAATCGGGCTAATTTCATAGTAGTGCGGAATCACTGACAGGATTATAGTACCTATAGATTGGTTTGAGCTATTCCAGTGGTAACAAGAAAAACTTTCGATATGGGAAAGCTCTAAATTTCAGCTAAAACAAAGAAAGAAAACATGACATGCACGAACTACCTACATAATTATTTATCACAGAAAATGTTGATTGGATGCAGGAAAGAACTGGAACACAAAATTTTTTTAAAAAAATCCAGTTAAGTCGAGAAAGATATGCCCTTTTTGAAATATATAATTTGAAGAATAGGTACCTAAATAAACTTCCCAAAGATTCCCATAGCAGAAGATTTATGGGTATGCCTATAGACACTTAATAGTTCTCCAAATAATTTTGTGGATTTTCCATTTCCAGAAGAGATTTATTTGGAATAATGTCAAGAACTTCGATTCTTCGAAAACCAAAGAAGTCGTTCCAGATAATGTATACCTACTTACAAATATTGGGAAGGGAAAGATCTGCGCCAAGTTTGGACATTGCCTTTGATTTCACTAGGTAGCTATAAGTGTACTAGGATTTGATTTTATCGCTAATTCATCTATTTGATTAAACCTCATTATTGGTCAGGTCTCAGAATCCTCAAAATACCACAAATTTTGCCAAAAGGTGGATTTCACTTAAAACCTAAATGTCTTAGGTATTTCTTAGGATATAGCGATAATAGCAAAGTCTTAATAGATTCATATGGCAGGTAAAATGTTTAACGACCGCCCTGCCTTCTGAAGAAGTTGCAAATTAATTAACTTTTAGGCCAGGGTGGCATTAAGGTTTTCTTGCAAACAAACCGCCAATGAAAGATCTTGATCAAGATGAGGTCTTAAATATTTTAAAATAGGTACCTACCTATGCTACTATACTTAGGTACATCGTGTAGGTATACTATGATACAAAGAAACGAAGCAACTGCTGTATTAACAAGGTAGACTTCTTAGAAATCTTAGAATTAGCTTTGTTGCATGAAATGAAACATGAAACCTAAACATAAACTTAAATTTTGTACTCACCTCACTTTCTCTGCTCAATCTCCTAAACAACTCGTCACTTTCAAACTTAGCTTTTTGATCAGGTACCACTCGAGGCATCTTAAAAATAAACTTAGGCCTCGGTTGTTCGTACAACCCCATGTTATCGAAATGCGTATGGTGCATCATCCCTAACACTGCCGTGTGATCCATGACTCGAGCCGACACTACTCTCGATCTCACCGACTGAACTGAACTGAGCCTGGTTGAACAACGAGCCTGAAAAATCATTACATCAAAGTTGAAAAGGGGACCCGAGGCCAGGGGCGGAGCCCCTTTCAACCAATAAAATCCGTCGTTTTCCTCCTATTTCCAGTTGGAAAGTGCAGGGGCACGAAAAAGAGGAGTGATTTTAATGAAGGGGCCTTATGATGCATTATTTTATGAAGAGATTTATATTTTAAGTAGTATCTGCTTTTTAGTCACTTCAAAAGAGGATTGTTTGAAAAAGTTATTTTATTGTGATGTTGTGTTGAATTATAATTATAGAGTACCATTAGAGTATTTGAAATGTTAGATAAACATGATATAAATTTCAAATGAGAAGGGTGATATGTTTACTTAATTAACATCGGAATTTGGAATAATCTAAACATGAAGATGAAATTTCTTTCAAATTAATAAAAACTTATCATTGTTGATAACAATGTGATGTTGGTCTGTTTTACTTTAAACAGCAATCTGTGATAAATTATCATCATCAATACTTGATAGAACCATATATCACTCTACTGGATCTGAGAACAGTAAATTCAGGTAATGTGAGCAGGCAATCATAACTTGGCTCACATGGGCTCTTATGGCTCTTCTTTATTAGGATACGCTGATTATGTGATACTTATTGCTGCTATATCATAGTCACAATGTCTTGCCAGACATGTTTTCTCATAAAATGTATTAATTCAGAACTGGAGGATTTGCCTTTCTAAAAATATGGAAAAGACAAGATACCGGACAAGCGACATTTTGGTGGCTTCCGTGATATGATTGTCACGTCATATTTTAGTCATGGCTGACCATGCTTGTTGAATGCGCCGACGGATTGCAAATTCGCAGCCACCTCTGAATTGTCGATCAAAGAACCGATGGTATACAAGAACCTGGACTACCTGACAATGGCCTACTGGATGTTATTTCAGAGGATGATTGTCATGTGCCCTATCAACGATCATGGCCTTGATCTTATTGTAGTTGATACTGAGATCACTTTACATGCTGCACTATGTTGTTCTAAGATGTTAAGTAAGGTTAACAATAATTGTTTTCAATAGAGTGAATGTTTAAATGAAATGAGAGAAACTTAATACCTTTGAACTCGTGCAATCCGAAATCGGCGAAACTGGACGTAGGTCTCTGTGGGATGTTATGTATGTATGTGTTGGAGGTGTCAGTTGCACTGCGACCAAGGTTGATCTATTGTACCCCTCCTTCTGCTGCTAAGTTCGGGTTTCCTGCTTAAAGCAGCACCTCTAGTCCTAGGTCCTTTAGGAATTTTAGGATGTCTAGCGGTTCCAGGGCTGGAATGTCTTCCAGCTGTATAAGGGAACTTCCCAAGTTCTTCATTCTTGAGCGGCTTATGGCATCGCAGTTCGGTAGAAGATGGTGAGGTGTTTCTTCACCGTCTTCACAGAATCTGCAAGTGTTACCTTCTTCCAACCCTAGATTATGTAGGTGCTTATTCAGTCTGCAATGTCCCGAGAGAAACCCGGTTAGAGTTTTGAGATTTTTCTTGCTAAGGTTGACCAGCAGTTCAGATCTTTTTTGGTTGTAGCTACCCAGTAGATCTTTGGCCTGGGATTTCTTGGAGGTGCGCATTTCCGACGCCGTAGAATGGTTCTGACCCAGTGAAGGGAGTGGCCGCTCCCGTTTTTGCAAGTTCGTCTGCGCATTCATTGCCCTCGACTCCTATGTGTCCAGGAACCCAGAGTAGGGTTACTTTGTTTTCCTTTCCCAGCTCATTGAGTTTCTGTAGGCATTCCCATACTATCTTAGAATTGATTACCTTGATTACCGGCGAGCTCAATGCTTTGATAGCTGCTTGGCTGTCAGTGTCAGACATTATTACAATTTCTCGTTTTCGGTACCTTCTGTTCAGGTTGAACTACACGCATTTTCCGATCGCTGATGAAGTTCGGCTTGGAATATGCTTAGTGATTTGCCCATTGGCTCCGAGTATCTGGTTCGTGGCCCGAATACTCCGGCTCCTGTCCCCTCAGCAGTTTTGGAGCCGTCTGCGTGAACCATTTGATGGTGTTTGCTTTAAGGGACTGGATACATTCTATGTTCCATCTGTTCTTTGTACTTAGTTCGATGGAAAAGTTTTTCTCGAAACTGAATTTATCAACAATCGCGTCTTTTGGTAAGTCCATGAGGTGTGCACAGTTTGGGAGAGGAAAAACTCTGCCAAAGTACGTTTTCCCTTGTAGACTTATCTTCGCCAGTCTAAGATATGATTCACTGGCACAGGGCTGGAAAAATGCCGTCTACTCCAGGTGACTTGAGTGCAAAGGTTCTTGGCAACTTCCCAGGTTTCTTGCCTGGTTTTTCTGGGCCGTTCTTTGTTTTCTTCAGTACCATTGGGTATACTTCTTGGAAAATGGGTTTCCGCAGTAGTAGAGCAGCTCGTTGCTCTTCAAGTCTCTGTGGGATATGGGATATTATTCGCTGTCATGAAAGTATATCATACCATTCATATCCTAAGATGTAAAGTTAAAATTAATAGTTATTTATGGTACCTACTAGCAAAGTCTGTTACACCATCGTGCCAACCATCCAGTATCTGTCTCATTATTCGGAATAGATTTTAAACAACATCGGCGATAACACACATATCTGACAAACTCCTTTTCTTGTTGTAGTCTGTGGTAGACCTTGTTGCACTCATATGATTTATGAGAAATATCTCCCATGGAGAGGAGAATTTTCCATAGTTTAGGCCACTTCACGTTGTCAAATGCCTTAGAGTAGTCCACAAAGCAGATATAGACTGAAAAGTAATGCTTTCTGGCCTTTTCAATAAGGTGCCTCAAGTTCAAGATCTGTACGCACGTCACTTCACGAATCCTGTCTGCTCAGGAGATATTTTCCAATTAATAAAACCCTCCAAACGAGACTGCAGAACATACAGCACAACCTTGCTTGAATGAGAGCAGACGATAATAGTCTGGGTTTCTAACAAATACCTACGATGTAAAAAATGTAGGCCATCATTCATCAAGCACTTTAGAGTTTTGGCAGAAAGGGCATCAATGCCTTTAGCGGCTTTTAGTTTCCTAAAGGCATGTTTATGAAAAAAAATATCTGGTTTCTCACAATATGTACGCCACACCTCAATGACCCCGTCCAAGCTGGTGAAGAGATGTCCATCGGCGTTCTCAACTGACCAAGTTTTGGGTTTATCAGAGACATTTTGTCTTTAGGAAGATCTCCTCTGAATGGTCTGTATTAGCGTTGGCCTGTATCTCCCTGCATAATTCCCGAAAAGAGGAGTTCTCATCTTGACGGCAAAGTCTAAGAAGCCTATACAAAGATGCAAATTAGAGAATGAAAGTTGAGTAGCAATAAGCGTCCATATGTATCAGAAAGAAAGAAGATTTCATTGTTAGAAAATACAAAATCTACTCATAGATAATCCAGTCCAAAATCATGATATCTTCAAACATTCATATTTACATGCTTTTTTATACCCATATCAATGCCTTCTTTTTTCTCATAGATATAGGTATATATATTAACGTCACTCATCAATCCTCTCCTGTCAACTCTTCGTCACCCCTTCAACTACCTTTTTATTCATTCATGATAGTGTTTGCATATTAACCCATCAAAACTCTTCAGTCATATTCAAATTTCGAGTGTCCTCCATCATGTCACTCTGATTTTTAAATTTTCAAGAGATCTCAACTTTCTAGGGAAAGGTATTTTTGATTGTGACAAGTTTGTCATTTTTGTTTGAGCGGATCTTTAGAAATATTTACCATTAGTTCTACCTGGAATAATAGATGTAAAACATTTATCGGTTGAATCCTCTTCATTATTTTTATTTTTCCTAGAGAAAACCATTGATGCCTTTATAAAATGTCACCTCATGTTCATATGCAAAAAACAATATTGTTAATCCTCTAATAAATTCTCACCCCACTTTTTCAACATTGAAATTGAGCCATAGTCGATTAGGCATTAGATATGCATAGTTTGCCAATAGGCTTAATTGAAATTTACACTTTTTTTAAGCCATTCATGTGCACCTGCATGTGCATGTTTGCATATGCAAAGCTGAGAATTTATGCAAATCTCTCAAACCATATTAAATCGGACACTAATATCCGTATACGGTTATGATTTATATACACATATGGATTGATTGAAGAAGCTTGATTTTGTTTTTGAACATTGTACAAAACTGTATGATTATTCAAAAACTGTATAAGGAAACTCGGAAACTGTATGATTATTCAAAAACTGTACATAGAATTGAATTGACGTTTTCAATTAAAAGAGATGGACAATAAAGTATGAAAACAATCATTTTCCCGCCAACATTTGCTTGCTTGTCAATGCCAGTGTGTATTGGGTGTTTTGAAAGAAATTGTGGGAAAAGTTGCTACTTCATTTGCAAAACTTCGCTATGGAGAAAGCGGTGAATTATTTTGGAAGCAAACAGCTCCCGCAAACTAAACTTGAACGTGGATTACTTTGTATACTTGATGGGCCGTGGATTCCCTTTTTTTTGCGGGTATTCTTTCTGATTTTATGTATCCAAAATTTGACAAATGTAGGATTTGATGGGAACTTATGGAAAGACGCGTCCGCCGGTAAATAGGAATTATTTTTACAAAAAGGCACACTACACAATCACTATTGTTAGGAAAAAACTTTGAAAAACCCGAAGAAATAATAGTTTCCAGTTTCCACATGTACAAAAGTCTTGTCAACAAACCACTGTCAGCGGCTGTCAACCGTTGTTTTCATACTCTTTTGGCGTCTGACAGTTTGACGCAGAGAGAGAAGCTTTTAAATTGAAAAGGTCAATTCATACTAACATGGAAAGGTTGAGGGGGTAGTCAGAAACAGGAAAATACCAGTGGCGTACTCTCGATTGACCGACGAATGGAGAACCATACGAAAATATACAAAACTGTATGATTATTCATAGGATAGTTGACTATTTTTTGACAGCTGACGTTAAATTTTTTTGAAGTGCCACTCGCTGCTAATAG